AATAATTAGAATAGGTAGGATAATTTATTCTATTACCACACCTTGGCATTATTTTGCCACATCATCCTTCAAAACCATCATACCTTTTCATTTCCAATAAATTTTTTTCCGTAAAGTCTACCAAAATAAATAATTTTGATCCTCTATTATCTGCCTGTATGAGCTCTCACCTCTAAAAGTGTTGTCTCCAGTTTTCCCTCATGTTTATGTATCCTTTCTTATACTACCTCCATGAGTTGGGCAACAAAATCCAATTCCCAGCCTGGGTTATAACTGTCTCCATTATTTTATTTCTCAACATCCATTTCCTGGAACTGGAGCGAAGTCCTGAAATAGTCTAGTCTGCTAGTTTGATTATCTTGAACAAATGAGACTTAAGAAAATTCACTTGTGTTTCATTAATTGGGACTCATTAGAGTTTAGTTATATATAAGAGGCTATAAAAAATGTGGCTTGATTGTTTTGACTTTTGAGTTGCAAAATGCTCACATTCCCAGTTGAAACTAATTTCCCTGTATCTTCCCTTCCAGGCCCAGATTAAAAAAATAAGTTCATAAAGACATTTCTTTCTAGAAAATGACAAGTATACTGCCAATTTCCTTAACATGCAGCAAGAACAATACTTTAATTTTGCCTTCTGACTTTCTACGTGAAGATCATCAAATAAGCAGATAGAGCGAGAAAATGAAATTTTAAATATTATGAAAATGAAATGTTCAAATGACACAAATGACAATGAGGAATTTTTCATATAATTCATTAAATGGGGGTTGCATTCAGTCCTTATTTATTCTAAAAGTTATTTTGAGTTTAACATTTTTAAAAATGGGATAAGATTCTCACTATTGTTTTAAATAGAGATAATCTACCTAACCACAAACCTCCAACAGGGAGACTGACCACATTGATGGGAAAGGAACATAGGTACTTTTAAACGGGGAAAATGTTCAATTTAAGTAATTTCAAGGACAGATAACATAATTCATGTCTATTTGAATTTCTTCTGTTCTTTCTTAAACTATTGTGTTGACCATAAGAGGGCAGTCCTGTATTTGGAGGGTAGATTTAACACAGTTTCATTGAAAGCAATGTTTGTGTTTAAATAGATAAAGTACATAGAAAAAGTTTAAATCAAAAAATCAAATAACCGAGGATTTTGTCACCACTTTGGGTCAAAGTATATGCTTTATAATTTACAAATTTTGTTTTTGCCATTATAGCTGTTAATTTTAAGCCTATATTACTTATACTCATTCAGTGAGAAAGCTCATTTATGTATTTAACTTTATGAAAGAAACAGACTCTTGCATATATGAAACAAGACTTGTTACTGATTATGTATTCTCATTTTCTCTAATTTTAGAGGAAAGAAAGCTTTCATCTCAGATATATCAAATATTCAGTTATTTTTCTCCTTTGCTTTATAATCTCCCTCTCTCTCTCTCTCTCTCTCTCTCTCACACACACACACACAGAAGTGACTTCTGAAATAGGTAAATGGTAAACAAATGACTGAACTCCACATTTATGGTTGAAAAAATTGGAATCTGTTTCAATATGATATTTGACACAATCTTAGAAATTATTAAGAGAGTTATAAATAGATCCTTGTCCCAAGTGATGAGAATTTAGTTCAGGTTTAAGAATTAATTTGAATTTTGAGAGTTCATAAGCACTCGATAATTAGTTGAAATTTTACATTTCAAGCATTTTATGGTTTTCCCCTAGGAAGCTTGTTCTTGTTAAAAGCATCATATATATTAGATTAAACATGCACTGATTGGTATAACCAGCTGCTAATCATGCCATAAAATTAAGTTTCATCCCCATAATTGAAGTTACATTATTTAAGTGCCAAATGTTTGTGAGAGAGAGACTCTCTTCCATACAGAAGAAATTTCTCTGGCTCCCCTAATAATATCTTTGGCTCCCCTACACTCATATTTCCCATCAAATAAATTACACAGTGGCTAATCCAGATTCCAGGTACCTGCTTATGGCTTTCATAAATTGCTAGGTGATAATGAAGTTGCAAGGCAGAACTGGGTGAATTTTTTGGGTAGGAGGCAGCCTAGAGCAGTGCACAGGCATCTTTACCTGTACTGTATCCTATGGAAGTTAAAAGAGCCAGTGACAATAATTGACAAGACAGTTAAGAGCAATGACTAGACTAGGTTGGTTGGAAAATCCAAGTACAGAAACCAGGGAATTAGCCACTATGAAAGGATTCACGGTAGCTCTGAGAGTAGTATATTTGCAATATTATATTTGCAATATTTAATTTTATTATATTATAATACAGAATATATGTTATATATTATAATATATAATAAATATAATGTAATATTTGAAATATTAATGTTATATTTGTGGGCTGAAGCGATAGCACAGCAGGTAGGGTGTTTCCCTTGCAAGCGACCAATATGGCCGACCCGAGTTCGATTCCTCCGCCCTTCTTGGAGAGCCTGGCAAGCTACCAACAGTATCTCGCCTGCTCGGCAGAGCCTGGCAAGCTACCCGTGATGTATTTGATATGCCAAACACAATAACAATTGTCACAATGGAGACGCTACTAGGCCCGCTCGAGTAAATTGATGAACAACGGGAGGTCAGTGACAGTGACAGTGATATTATATTTGCAAGATTATACTTTGGGGAATTTGTTGTTGAGGGAATGACACCCAGTAATGCTTTGGGTTTGCTTTTGGCTCTGTACTCAGGATTTACTTGGAGACCATATGGGATGTCAGGGATCAAACCTGGGTCAGCTGCGTGCAAGACAAATGCCCTACCAGCTATACAATAGCTCCAGCCTCTGCTTTAAGGGAAATTTGAAAAGTGTTATGCTTCCCTAGGAATCTGAGAAAATCTGTAAGTAAGATTTTCTATTATTTATCTTTAATAATAACAAATCTTAAGGGCTGGAGTGATAGCACAGTGGGTAGGGTGTTTGCTTTGCACGCAGCTGACATGGCTGACCCAAATTTGATTCCTCTGCTCCTCTCGGAGAGCCCAGCAAGCTACCAAGAGTATCTTGCCCACACGGCAAAGCCTGGCAAGCTACCCATGATGTATTCTATATGCCAAACACATTAACAACAAGTCTCACAATGGAGACGTTACTGCGTCCACTCGAGCAAATCAATGAACAGCTAGAGGACAGTGACAGTGACAGTGACAATGATATCATTTTCATTTGATAGATAAGAAGAAATTGCTTCTATAATTAAATAATTTCTGGTCTGCTATCATCTCACAGTGGATAGATGCTCCTTTATTGTAAGAGTCAGAGTGTGTGAGATTCTGCTACCCCAGGAGAGATGGGAGAGAACATATTTAACAATTTATAATATTTCATAATTTGACCGAGCATTGCTTCAGAGTGGTGGGTTGATTATTTAATGGACAAAGTGTCATTTCCTCCTATGTATAGAGTAATTTTCTCAGATTTTCAACACTTTATGAAAAATGGAAAGTCAAAGCAGTCTTCTCCACAGAGAGTTGGTCAGTTAATTGCTTTTACATCTCTTTTCAACTCAATTTTAGTAACCAAAATGTAGAGTGTAACTCTCCAAATCTTGATGCTATTGTGTTTACTAAGTAATTGAGGTTGAGACAGAGGGAGGTAAGTGGGGCAGAGGAGGGTGCAAAGGGATATGGTGACTATAGTGCTCTAACACTGTGTGTTTAAAGAATAAACATTAAGAAAGATTAAAATTCAAATGCACTGTGCATGAAAAACTATGAACAATTATTAGTTTGGAATAGCTAAGACAATATCTTTAAATTCACATCTTTGTAAGGAAACAAATTACAACAGTCAAGAACACTATGTGGCACAGATACAAGAGTTTCCTTTTGTGTAAGACAGGTTCAAGTTCCATCTCTAACTCTACATATTTCCAGAGGAAAACTGACTTCACTGAGTTTCAGCTTACTCAACCAAAACTGGGAACAATATACACCCTGCCACAGAGTATTGTGAAAATTAAATAAAATGAAATGACTTTTTGTTGGATTTGATATTGAAAGAGAATTCTTATCAAGGTAAGCTAACATTCTGCAGCCGAACATGAGTTTGTCTCAAGAAACAGATGCCATGGCCTAAAAAATGGATCACAGTATCTTTCTGGATATATTTACACTGCAAAAATTATTAGCACTGTGGGTCCATTAGAAGCCAAATTAAGCTGCTTTCCCATGTTATGGCACTGTCACGCAGGATGCATGCTCTGGGCAGATTTCACGCATTTTTTTGTCATTGGGTTGGCAGAGTTGTCAAATGCCAGTTTTGAAAGATGAGGCTATCTACAGATGCTTGCATAACACAGTTAAACAGAGAAACAGACATGAAAATATCCTTTGGCCATTTATTGTGTTCTCAATGGGTTCTTTTTGTGCTTTGAAACAATTTTTTAATTTTGTTCCAATTGTTCCAACTGCTCTATGTCAAGAACGGATCTTTGCATTTCCATTGGGATTTCCACTGGACTTAGGAAATGCAAGCCACCAGCATTGACTGGGAGATAAGAGTGAAGGAACTTGAGATATTTAAACCCTTCTCACATAGTATAGATATAGAACATAGAAATATTTACATGAGTAAATGCATGCCTATGCATTCTGAAGTGACTGGTCTTGGTGGCAGAATACTGAAGTAATGAATGTCTAGGTGCACTTTTCAACTCATTAGTGATACCCTACGACACTAGAAAAAACTGTTTTAGTACATTGGTATCATCTATGTTTACAAATGTGCTTAGTAAATTTATTTTGGACAATTGATAGTAAAAAAACTCATAATCTGTTAGATTCATATTTAAATGTTTGAGCTAATTCCAGCCCTATACTATAACATATAACATTTAATGCAGAACTCATCTCTAAGATGTAATATGATTATGTATAGAATCAGAAACTTAAGAAAAATTATACCAGGTTCACTTTTAGCTGTATTATAGCCTAAAAGTAGCATTTAAGGCAAGTCAAGTAGTGCTTACCGGATCCTCTCTCACAAGTTCTCCATTAGGTACTACTTCGACGAGGTGGATGATAATAATCATGGAATTCAGAATGTAGGTTAGAAACATGTTCTTGTGCAGAGTCACTCTTTGGCAGCTAAGGTTCCTGGTTAAAAACAAAATAAAACAAAACAAAAATGGATCAGTTAAAAAATGCTAAAGGGTTGAAGTAGCTGGAAAAATATTTTAATGACTTCCTTTAGCAACACATAAGATAACACATAAAAATTAGTGAGACTGGTCCTATTCTTAGAAAGCGTTATTAGTTTTCTGACTAATTTTAAAGAGCAGTTTACTAATCTTGGTTTTCATAGTTTTTAGTTCCCAGGGTGACTTTATACTATATCTGAAAGATGTAATTACTTGGGCTCGAGCGATAGCCCAGCGGGTAGGGCATTTGCCTTGCACGTGGTTGACCTGGCCAAGCTGGCTGACCCGGGTTCGATTTCTCCGCCACTCTCAGAGAGCAGGGCAAGCTACCGAGAATATCTCACCCACACGGCAAACCCTGGCAAGCTACCCGTGATGTATTCAATTTGCCAAACACAATAACAACAAGTCTCACTGGGCCTGCTCGTGCAAATCAATGAACAACGGGAGGACAGTGCAATGTAATTACTTAAATATAAAAAATGTGAAATTAAGCATGGAGGACTCTTAACAGGAGTTCTCTTAACAGAACTCATTTTGTGTGTTTGTAAGAGTGTTTCAGATGAAAAGTGAATCAGTCTTTTTTGTAACCAGGTAGAAATTGTATAGTAGGTTGAATAAAGGGACATGAAGAAAGAACCAAGACTATCTTGTGACAAAAGCCTGAATCCATGTCCTTGACCCATTACACAGAGACTTTGAAAAGTCTCCCATCATGCTTCTCTTTCCCCATTTTCTTCAAGATAGGACCAGTCTCACTTATTTATATGTGTTATCTCATCTGTTGCTAAAGAACGTCATTAAAATATTATTTCTTGAATTCATGTTAAAATAACTTGGTGGTTCCTCTTTTCCATGTCCTCCTGGTGAAGCTCAGACACAGGCAGAGAATTTTAAAGGCAAAAATTTTATCTCACTATGAAGCATATTATGGTTTGGATATGATAAAACCTAGCCAATGCTACCGATTGTTGGCATAGCCATTCACGACTCTTGTGTACTAAGCAATATGTTGGATATTCCATCTCTTTTTCCTTCACTTCATAAAATTTGACTTTTTGTGTATGTGTATGTGTGTGTGAATGTTCACATAAATAAACATCAGTTGGAAGATCCCATTTCCCTTTATTTACAACTAGTCAGCAGGATAGCTATAACAAAAATTGGAATGATTATACTAAGTGAATAAAAATATGCTTCCATATTTTACTCAGACAAAAACATCTAGTATAGTTATTCACCATGTAAAACCTTAAAACAACTAGTTAATAATGTCAGTAACCAATCATAATAATTCTTTTCTGAAAGATTTTATGGAATAAGTTAGAATTCCAGGAATTTTGAAAATAAAAATGATGATGAACTATCACAGATGACAATTGTTTAGTTTTACATTTGAGAAATGAGTGGATGTATTAGGACATACTTTTTTAATTGAAACTACATTTCCCCTCTTTTCAGGAATCCAAGCATTAGTGAATTGCTAATATATGATAGTTTTAAATTTTCAACGTACTGAACAGGAAAACTTTATATCCAGGAATGTGTGGACATATACACAGATATAGAGGTTAGTTTGTGCTACTTTATTTAGCAGCAAACAAGTTTTAAAGATAAACAATTGATTTTGTAATAGTACTATATAAGGATGTTGCAGAAAAAAGATTTTACTTATTTATACATTTTTGGGTTTGGGGGCCATACCCAGAAATGGTGGGCTGGAGCGATAGCACAGCGGGTAGGGCGTTCGCCTTACAAGCGGCCAACATGGCCGACCCGAGTTCGATTCCTCCGCCCCTCTCGGAGAGCCCGGCAAGCTACCGAGAGTATTCATATGCCAGACACAGTAACAACAAAGTCTCCAATGGAGACGTTACTGGGCCCGCTCGAGCAAATCGACGATCAACGGGAGGGCCTTTACCTTTACCTTTACCCAGAAATGGTCTTATTCCTGGCTTTGTTCTCAAGGAGCATAAGAGGTTCTGGAGATAGAACCTGGGTTGGTTACATGCAAGGCAAGTGCCTAACCACTGTAACTTCTGGTCCCCAATTTAAAATTTTTAAAGAAAAAAAATACGTGAAATATTATATCCATAATATACTGCATAAACTCTTTCATATTGCAACAACTGCATTTAGTACCGTTAAACCTCTGACCTGCAATTTGTTTTCATATAGTAATAGTAGCATTTTATCATTCTTCTCCTCAAGAGGCAAATATCTGAAGTCTTATGACTGGTCTCAGCCTGGCTTAAAAGAATGACAGATGACACTTTCTAGAACTAAGGACAAATGCATCATGCAGTGTTGCTATTCCTGTGGCTGATTTTCTTTTGATTGGGTGGAATTCAATAATATGTAATTTGCATAAAAGGCTGGTTAATGTTCAATTTCCTGTAAACCAGAACCATTCTGAATACATATACTTCCTACACTTCCAGACTACTCTCTAGTCCTTATATACTATATTTTTCTTTTAAAATTGGCTCTTCCTGAATTATTTGCTTGCTTTTGTCTGCTATCTTTTCCCTTTCTCTAACTAAAATGGAAATGCTGAAGGATTTTGTTACAGAAGCCTAGAACTGTTTCAACACATTGCTGTCATTTATTTTTTGTATTAAAAATCCTTATGTTGAACAGTTTTCTTCTTTGATCTATGACAACTGAACAGTTTCCAAGGATATCAGAGTATTACATTAAATGCTAGATGATCTCATAACTTAAACTTCATCATATCAAACATTTGCCAAATCCTTAAGTATTAACTAATATTAGACATCTTCCTGTTCTTCAGTATTAGATAACACATATATACAGTACAATACTATATATACAAAAAAGTAATGATTTAAAACTAAATAACTGTTAGGCTTCACAGAAAGTATATAAGTAACATAATATAATATGTATTTTTATCTCTTAAAGGTTTCAATATGATTTCTGCTTATTAAGTTTTAAAAATTTTATTACATGTGCTTGATGACATTTACACTGAGATTTGAATTAAGTTATAGGCAGATTAAATTTATTAGAATTATTCAGTAATCCAACATATATCACTGTGTACCCATATTGATTCAGATCATTTTTATAAATGCTAGAGATACCTGGGAGCTTTTTATTGCATATGATTGTTTATTAATTTTAATCATGATAATTGTTCTAAATAGAAGAGTAGGATGCTAAAGAATATAATCTGATTCAACACAAGTAATTATGAGTTTCATTGTTCTAAATGCAAATATCATGGTGCTTGCATGAACGTGAAGGAAGCTAATATTTTCTGTCAGAACTAAAATCGAAATGGCACAAACCTTTTAGCTCTAGTTTATTCTTGTTTTATGGAAATAGTTATTAGAGAAGCAGGATATTGCTTACTTTTTGGGTGAAAAGGAACACTAAGAAAACTTCAGATTTTTTAAGAGTGGGAAAGTAAGACATAATGTACTTCTGTCTTGACTCAATGAAGGTATGATTCAATGCGAGAACAAGATAATGATTTAATTGAATGTGAATCTCAAGATGTCAAATTGAAATTTGACACTAAATATTACATTTGTAAACTTAGTTTACCTGGTGTAAATATTGAAAATTTTTATTTTAAATTCTTTTCAGCCTATAAATGCATGCATATTCTTTAGGGGAATCTGTAGTTGTGTGAGAAAATGTTGATATCTGCCTTGCTTTTTGTAGATCACATAAATCAATTTTATGTTATTGACAAGGAATATCAGCATTAACTCCTTTATAAGATTGTGTACTATGATCACAAAGTTTAAAAGGAAATTAAGAACTAATAGAATAAGTAAACTTTATTATGAAAAATAAAGTGCATAGAAAAATACACATCTGGAAAAATTTTTTTTTTTTCTTTTTGGGTCACAGCCAGCAATGCACAGGAGTTACTCCTGGTTCATGCACTCAGGAATTACTCCTGGCGGTGCCCAGAGGACCATATGGGATGCTGGGAATCGAACCTAGGTTGGCTGCGTGCAAGGCAAACGCCCTTCCGGCTGTGCTATTGCTCCAGCCCCCACATCTGGAATATTTTGTATTATTGGTACAAAGTAATATCTGCCAGTTTAATGCCAACATTTCTTTTTCCTAGGTATTAAGCCTTGTTTTCAGTGGAGAAAGAGAAAGGACATCAAATGTATTAGAACTCCTAGAAAAAAATTTAATATTTTTTTTCTGACAAGAGACTTTATATCTTTAGAATTAGTACAAAATATCTTTAATGAACTCTCTCTTAATCATTTTTCTGTTTTCTTTTCCTAGTTCTAGTGTTCCAAGTGAATCATTGACCAGTATATAACTGACAGCTATTTTTCATGATCCTGTTGTGTCTGTGGTAGGTTTGGATAAAGAAGACCATATTTGGTGTCACTGATCTATTCTAATAATGTATTTGGAGGAATAGAAGCCAGAAATGTTATTATAGGTTATTATAGAGAAATAGTACAAGAAGTAACATGTTGTTGCATGCAGCTGTCCTTGATTAATCCCTGGTACTATGAATTTTCCCTTGAACACTGCTAGGGGTCTGTCCTGAGCATAGAGCCAGGAATAGTTCCTAAACACCATTGGGTGTTGCCCAACCTCTACCTTTCCATATAGTGCTTACTAAAGCAGATAAAGAGTTTGTTTGCTTGGTGTTTTGCTTTTTGGGTCATACCTGGCAATGCACAGGTATTACTTCTGGCTCATGCACTCAGGAATTACTCTTGGTGTTGCTCGGGGGACCATATGGGATGCTGGGAATTGAATTCTGTCGGCAGCATGCAAGGCAAAAACCCTACCTGCTGTGCTATTGCTCCAGTCCCAAGAAATTATTTTTCTTTTTTAAAGTATATACATATATATATGTATATTATTAGTGAGACACCATGAGGTACAGTTGTAGACTTACAAATTTTTGTGCTTGGGTTTCAATTATACAATGATCAAATACCCATC